GAGACTTGGATCGATGGATTGTTGGTCTACAACGGTCTGTGCTGCACATCCGTAAGTACGATCAGAGACTGGTGCAGGCGAGGCTTTTCTCCAAGTTTCTAAGTGTGGTACGACGGTGGCATCGACGGCCCGTCGATCCACACACGAACCGTAGCCTGCACCTTCGCACTCCGTCGATGATTCCAAAAACTATACAGGTGAAGGGACCTTCTCCACCAGCCTAAGTGTGGGATGAAGGTGGCATCGACGACCCGTCGATCCACACACGGGCCGTCGTCTGTCCTGTCGGTGCACACTGCCAGGCAGTGTTGCATCAAACTGCAAGGGTCCTCCTAAAGGATCCTTGGTTAGTCCTTAGGGAGTTGTACCTGGACGTTTCAACCATGGAACAACTAAAACATCCATTAGTTACCTTTCCACCAACGTTCGCACAAATCCTACTCCTAAAACTTAGTCAAGTAGGATAAGGCACATTATGATCCCTTTGAACCAACTTCTCAAACGTTTTGGACGTTTTGATTCTTAAATCTCCTAAATGACATATATTCATTAAAAAAGGACTTAGAAACTGTGTTAAGACTTTATGAAACCTATGTTAGGTTTTACAATGAGTCTTGAATTTTCAAGGTGTTACACTATGCTAACGAAAGGAGGCAGACCAAAGAAAGGAAAACTTGAACCTGCAATACTACTGATGCTAGAAGGAAAACTTGAAGAAAGATTTGAAACACTTGAAAGAAGATTTGAATCTGGAATAGTAGTGACTAGAAGGAACTGGTGTAGTGGAAGATGAAGACGCCATGTCGTAGAGAAGAAATTAGATGGGTTTCTGGTTACGTGATACCATGAGAATGTATTTGTGAATAGCATAAACAAATCAACGAGCCTGACTCTGTATTACTATATATATAGGAAATCATGTACTGATACACTTACACATAAGTAAGAGTACTAATAAGATTCTAAGAGTCCTAACAATAGTCCTAATAAGATTTTAAGAGTCCTAATATGACTTACTACCTACAGAATATGAATTATAGGAGAAAGGGTAAGTACCACCATTACCTAACTGTGGTTGTCCAGTTGCACTTATACGTGTATTATGGTTGCTAGAGTTTATTTGTGGTTGCTACACGCGACCACCAAAGCCACAACCTTTGCCACCACGTCCACGACTTCTGGAAGAAGATCGACCTCGACCACGACCAGAACCAAATTGAGAGCCAAAGTCTTGAGTAGGTGTAGAAACGGAATGTGCAGCAAATGCTTGATGCATAATTGGCGAGTCAAGTTCCTTGAAACGCTGCAACCTTTGCTCATGAAGTAAAAGTTTTGTGCAAAGCTCTTCAAGCTATAAGTGACCAGGAAAATATGTAATGATGCCAACCAAGGTGTCATACTCTTTTCCAAGGTCGAGTAAAACGTGATCAATAAAATCCTAAGATGGAACTGGTGAATTAATTGCTACAAGAGAATTAGCTATTTGTTTGGCATTGTGAAGGTATTGACCAATACTCATATTATAATCTTTTCACAAGGTGGTGAGTTGGCGTTTCAACTCAATAGATTTAGCCTGACTCGCATCCATATAGTGTCGCTGTAAGGATAACCATATATCTATGGATGTTGGAAGAAGACGAACATCAAGAAAAACTTCACGGGATAGTGTTGCGACTAACCAAGAACGAACACTTTGATCATTTTTTATCCAAGAGCGATAGAGAGGATTTGGTTGGTGATTGCCAAGATGCATCACCAAGAAGAGGAAAAGGGTGAGGAATTAAGCCATCAACGAACCTTATAAGCTCATGGGAAAATAGTAGAGAGGTGAACTGAGCGCGCCATGTAAGGTACTCCTCCACAGAACCTAACTTAATGGTCACTAAATTGGTGACAATATGGGTAGCAAGATCAGCAACAGAATCGAAATTTGGTAGAGTCAGAGAATCTATGCTAACAGGAGGAAGCAGACCAAAGAAAGGAAAACTTGAACCTGCAATAGTACTAATGCTAGAAGGAAAACTTGAATGAATATTTAAAACACTTGAAGGAAGATTTGAACCTGGAATTGTAGTGACGCTAGAAGGAACGACTGGTGTAGTGGAAGAAGAAGACAACATGTCGTAGAGAAGAAATTAGATGGATTTCTGGTTATGTGATACCATGAGAATGTATTTGTGAATAGCATAAGCAAATCAACGAGCCTGACTCTGTATTACTATATATATAGGAAATCATGTACTGATATACTTACACATAAGTAAGAGTACTAATAAGATTCTAAGAGTCCTAACAATAGTCCTAATAAGATTTTAAGAGTCCTAATATGACTTACTACCTACAGAATATGAATTATAGGAGAAAGGGTAAGTACCACCATTACCTAACTGTGGTTGTCCAGTTGCACTTATGTGTGTATTATGGTTGCTAGAGTTTATTTGTGGTTGCTACACGCGACCACCAAAGCCACAACCTTTGCCACCACGTCCACGACTTCTGGAAGAAGATCGACCTCGACCACGACCAGAACCAAATTGAGAGCCAAAGTCTTGAGTAGGTGTAGAAACGGAATGTGCAGCAAATGCTTGATGCATAATTGGCGAGTCAAGTTCCTTGAAACGCTGCAACCTTTGCTCATGAAGTAAAAGTTTTGTGCAAATCTCTTCAAGCTATAAGTGACCGGGAAAATATGTAATGATGCCAACCAAGGTGTCATACTCTTTTCCAAGGTCGAATAAAACGTGATCAATGAAATCCTGAGAAGGGGCTAGTGAATTAATTGCTGCAAGAGAAAATTATGTTTCCATATTGATGATTTCATTAAGTTCCTTTCGTGTCAATTTGCCATGAAAGATCTTGGTGATCTCCATTACTTTCTTAGTGTCCATGCTACCCGTCACGTCAATTTGCCATGAAAGATCTTGGTGATTTCCATTACTTTCTTGGTGTTCATGCTACCCGTACATCTACTAATCTTCATCTATCTTAGTAGAAATATGTATTTGATTCATTGCTTAAGTTTCATATTCATACTTGCAAGCCCATTTATACCCCTTTTGCTTCTTGAACTTCCCTTTCACTTGTTGGATGGTGAGTTTTTTTCAGATCCTAGAGAATATCGGAGCATAGTAGGTGCACTTCAATATTTAACGTTGACTCATCCTGATATTTCTTATGTTGTAAGTGTTGTCTCGCAATTGATGCATGCTCCTCGTACCACTCATATGCACTCGATGAAGCGTATTTTTAGGTACTTGCAAGGTACTATTACACATGGTCTTTTTCTTAGCGCATCATCATCCAATTCTACAATGGTGTTCTATTCTGATGCTGATTGGGCTGGCTGCCCAGATAGTCGACGTTCCACTACTGAATTCACAGTAATTTTAGGCTCTAATCTTATCTCTTGACGTACAAAGAAGCAACCTACTGTCTCTAGATCTTCTACTGAAGCCGAGTATAAAGTTGTTGCCTACATTGCTGCTTACCAACATCTGGTAGTATTACAAGTTTACAACATAGTGTATCTAAGTAATTAGATTATATCAGTTTATAAACTTCCCTTGAATAAAAGTTTTGGCCCATAATCAGACCTAGGCTCAACCTTAATCAAACATCAAAGGTCAATAGCTTATATAAGCCGAGCATACAAGTCCTTATTTTAAATGACTTAAAAAATTATATCCAACCCTGTCCCCATCATAGTTTTGATAGGGTCATCTCTATCTACTAAGTCAAAATAGTCCATTTTGACGGCTCTAATCATAACTAAACAACTTCTAGTGACAACTTCCCTCTATAATCATGACTAAATAACTTTTAGTGATAACTTCCCTTCGTTCCATCATTATAAGCTTCCAATTTAGGTGTCGCCGACTAACTTCAGGTATGACATTTCTTTATCTTCTCATGATCTTTCTGCATCTCCTGAAGGATTACGCATATTCAAGTGTTCTTGTTGTAACTTGGAAAATTTCTTCTCACACAATCAATGGCATATTATAGTATTACTCTTCTGTCTGCTTCCTCGTCGGATAAGTATTTATCAATATAAGAAATGAAATGGCTTTTTTTTTCTCTAGATTATCAAAATGACATTTCATAGTGACACCATATCACTCTCCTCTTTATTTGCTAAGATTTTCATTTTAATTTTTAAACAAGAACAGTTATTCTCTCAAGGGTCGTTTGATCACAAAATAAGAATAAATAAGAATATCTCATGAATTAAGAAATTTCATAATTAAAAATATAGTTGTTTCATTCTCTATAGTTATATTCATCAATTTAGTATAAAATGATTTAATTTATATCGCTTATCCGATTAAGACAAATCATTCAGAAAAATTCTACTTAGCATCCGAATTTTAAATCTACTTATTACTATTGTTGGTATTAGTTATATTATATTATATTATTGTCATAAAAATGCCATAATTGATGAACGGATAAATTTATAGGTAGTTAGGTAAACCCTATACTTTCAGTTTATAAGGCATCTAAGAGGCCAGCATTTAACCGCTCAACCAAATATTAATGAAAATTTTAATCAAAACAAGTAAACATTGCAAACACTGATATACCTTTACACTCTTGAGTAACTAACAAATATTCTGGGCTTTGAACCTTTTTAACAAAAGTGGTTTGGCAACTATACTTGCAACATGTTAGGAAACAAAACTTCTCATTCCATGAAAAAAAACATTTTCAACAATATTCACCAGAGGGACGCAAATATCTCAAAAATAAGGTTACGTTAAGTTTATTAGAGGACATCCCTTAATTACAAATGACATCCGTATCATACATGCAACTCATAACAAAATTGATGCTACTATACTTTCTTCTATGACTGAGAAATCCCAAGTCCAAACAACATTAACAGTACTCTAAAACAGCACTTGCTATAATTTGAAAGTACATATCGGAACACAACAAAATTGCAATCTTTCAATATCAGGAAGACGAAAGCACTCTTAAAGCTTGGAAATAACAAAATAGAATGTAGCAGGAGACAGGTAGCAAGATGTAATTGACTTGCATCATGCTGTTTAATACTGACCATTCATCTATGCTTCGGAAACTTGAACATCCCTCACTTCAATTTTAAGAGAGAGTTCACCATATGAAGCAACACATAAACAACAAGAATTAAAAAAAAAAACTGAGAAGTGAACTTCTGAGGAAACATTTCCACAAGACGGACGGAATTTTGATAATTAAATGTTGCAATCCAACTATCAAGCAAACTAGATAAAAAAAACCAGTTTACTTAAATCACTAAAGGACTTTGGATTGATATCATTCTATGCTTTCCTTGACACGTCCATCGGACATTAATAGGTCAATGCACGCAACGCCTCAGAAAGCAATATATATTACCAATTCAAATTTACTAGAGTCACAGCTTATGTGTATTCATTACAACAACATACCACATGTAATACCACCTACAACAATCTTGAATTGCAACCACCATACACCAATACAAAGGTAACAAACTAGAAGCACTTACCAAAGATCATACTACTAATTTGGTATTTATCAAATACTGATCATAAAACCCTAAACAGCACTTGCTATAATCTGAAAGTAAATATCAGAACAACTAAACTGCATTCATTCAATCTCATGAAGAAAGAATTTTCCTAAAGCTTGGAAATGACAAAATAGGATGTAGCAGGAGACAGGTAGCAAAATGCAATTGAAATACACCATGCTGTTTGATACTGACTATTCATTTATGCTTCGGAAACTTGAACATCCCTCACTTAAAGTTTAAGAGAGAGTTCACCATATGAAGCAACACACAATTATTAAGAACAAAAACTAAAGTCACTTCTAAGGGAACAGTTACACAAGACACAGACGAATTCTGATCATGTTGCAATCCAACTATCAAGCAAACTAGACAAGAAAACAGTTCACTTAACTCACTGTAGGACTTCGGATTGACATCATTATATGCTTTCCTTGACACATCCATCGAATATTCATAGGTCAATGCACGCAACGCCTCAGAAAGCAATACATGTTACGAATTTAAATTCTCTAGAGTCACAGCTTATGTGTTTTCACTTCAACAACAGCATACCCTATGTAATACCACAACATACACGTACGTAAAGACCACAAACAATCTTAAATTGTAACCACCATACACCAATATAGTGGTAACAAACTAGCTGCACTTATCAAAGATCATACTGGGATTTGTAGGTAGTCATGTTAGGTGTACACTCATTTCATCATAATAATTACAATATTAATCACAAAAGCATAGATATAGAAAACATTAGCAATTCGAACAATCATAAAAGATAAAACCAGATCTATCATTTCAAATTAAAAGTTGTTTGAACAAGAACAAAACAGAGCAAATATTCTGAATATCCAGAACAGAAAGTTACCAAATTAAGAGCAAACCACTCAAAATCTAAGCTTAGTGAAGAACCAGCGATTTTTCCCAGTTTTGAATCGCTCTTCAAACTTAGCTTTAGCCTCCTTAGCAGCAGTAACCTTCTTATCACGTGACTGAAGGCAATCGACTGTAACGGCTTCCTTCAAATCAACATCCAGGGTGTAACGAGTAGGCATGATGTGGTTGTAATTGACAAGCTTGATGAAAGTCTTTACGCGTGACTTCTTCGCCTGCTTTTTCGCAGAGTCCTTACGGATCACTTTCTTCGGGTACTTAGCTACGCCGGCGACTAAACAATGTCCGTATGGCCTGTCACGTGTCCCATCGTCGAATGCTCGAACAATCACCGCTTTCCTCCCGGCGTACTTGCCTTGGAGAACCACTACAGCTTTGTTTGGCTTAAGGAATTTCACCATTTTTCTGCACTTGTCCTTGCTGGTATGACTGACGATGGATGAAACCCTAAATAGGTTTTCCTTCGTTTATATATGACAGAGAGATTGGCGTTGCTAAAGGGCTTTTGGGCCTTGGGTTTACATTTTGGGCTTCGATCTTATAACAACAGAAAATGTAAAAAGGAGAAAAAATCACACCACTTATATTTGGTTGCAATCATTTAAAAATAGTGACTTCAAATATATTTGTTGTACAAAGGTATGTTTTAAATAGGTATATAGAAATTGAAATATAATGCTTTAAGAAATTTCAAATTTAAAAGGTAAGTTTAAATAATCGATTGAAAAATAATGTCACGTTATCATTATGGTAAAATGAGCTTGTTAGATTTATTGTTCTTGACGATTGGAGTTTGTTTTTTGTATATATGAAATTTTAACTTTCAAATGTTTAACTTATTTGGAGAAGATTTGGGTATATTGAATTGTTGAATTCCAAGAACAAAACAAAATTGATTAAAAAGAATCAGATATATATGACTTAAATTTTAGTCAAATTTTACATACATGAAAAAATAACATTTAGTCATTTTTTACTTCAATAAAAATATTTAAAATTAGTATCACGATCGATTTTTTTGTTGAATTGTGACGGATATTTAATGTCTTAATTTGATCGTGCGAATCATTTTGATATTTTGTCCTTGAAATATAAAACATGAAAAAGTTTATGATCATACCCATCGTTATAAAAGTTACTCATATACATTCTTATCGTTATACAAATGATCACAGATATCCCTACCAGAAGGAGCTTACATATGCCCTTCATTTAGCGAAATGAAAATTTTGTTTTGAATTTATTCTTTTGACTATAAAATTTTAAAAAGTTCATGTGGGGGTATATATGATCCTTCTAGCAAAATTCAAGCTATATTATAATCTTTTTCACACATAAATTACTTTTTAACATCTTTTATTTCTTTCACTCATTTATGTAAGGAAAAAATTAATAATATAATTTTGCGGCTATATTATAATTTGAAATTTGTATTTGTAAGAATAATATTGGGGCATGTATAATAATTTTTACAAGAAAATTAGTGAAACATAAATAAATTTGACCATAAAAACAATAATTTTAAAATAGTCGTTGAAATAAAAAAGTAAAAAAAAAATGTGTGAGGAGGATCAATATATCTCATATAGATTATATTATTCTAAAAACATAATTAAAAATCAATTTAAATTAAGTTGTTCACTTTCGTGAGAGAAAAGGGGTATATATGAATCATTTGTATAACATTATGGGTATATATGAATCCATTTTTATAACGAGGGGTATACTAGCTCTAAATAACAAAGTTAAAGGATATATCAAACTTTTTTTCCTATAAAACATTTTTTATCCCATGGCAGTTCGACATGATAATTTAGAAAATCATATGATAGACGTTTGAATAATTCTAAAACAATTCTTTCGAAAATTTGTAAAATTTTATGTCAAAATAAATTCATTTCCATTATTCATTTTGTTCATTTTCATTTATTATAATTGGACTTCATACACTGATTAGATAATAATATTATGAACAACACTTAAAATTTCTAATGAGCTTCTAATAATTAATGGACTTTAAATATTATCACCTTACTCACACTCATAATTATGGATAAGATTTACAATTTCTAATAGGCTTCTAATAACTAATGAGCTTTTGATATTATCACCTAACTCTCAACTCATAGTCATGGGCAACAGTTACAATTTCTAATGGGCTTCCCACACATTTATCATAACTAATTGGCATTTGATTTATCGACTACACACATCATAAACATGGTTAAAATTTCTAATGGACTTTCAAGAACTAATGAGTTTTTGATATTATCACCTACTCACATCATAATCACTGACAAGTTTAAAATTTCTAATGGGCTTTCAATAACTAATGAGTTTTTTATACTGTCACTTTACTCATACTCATAATCATGGACAATTCTTACAATTCTAAAAGGCTTTCAATAATTAATGAATTTTTTTATATTTTCACCTTACTCACACTCATTATTAGGAGTGTACAAAATCAAACTAAAAATTGAACCAACCTGCAAATCGAATCAAATTGAAAAAAAAACCTCGATTTGGTGTTGAAAAAAAACTCAAATATATTTGAGTTGAGTTGGCTTCAACTAAAAAAACAATCCGAGACAAAATCAATCCGACATTATATATATAATTTTTAAAATTTTATTTTATATGTGAAAATATTTACTTTGATATAATTTTTAAATTTTTTTAATAATTCATACATGTTGTTAATTATAACGTAGTTTAAATCAAAATCAAACTAATACTAACGCATACAAAAAATCAATTCAACACTAAGAATGACAATAATATTAAAATTTTATTTTTTAGTTTTACACAAGTTTAGACAATTAAAATGCATAATCTAATTTTACTTTCTTTTAATATTTGGTTATGTAACTAATACTTACAAAACTTATTTTAGTATAATTTAATACTTTTAAATTATGATCAGTTTCATTATGACTTATAAAAGTTTGCAATATTTGTTTTACGCGACGTCATTAATATTTTTTTGTTAGATATTTTAGTCTCATTAATCATATCATATTTTATGTTATTTGCTTAAGAAATAACTTAGATAGTTGCATTTGGGTAGGACTAAAGAAATTTTTGAAGTAGAAGTAAATTATATGTTTGTATGCGTAATTTATCAAAAAAAATTGAAAAACCCGATGAGAAGTTTAAAACCCGAGTTTTATTGGTTTATAAATTCAGAAATTAGAAACAAATGGTTTAGTTTGATATTTGAAAAATCCAAACCAACATGTACACCCTTACTCATAATCATGGACAAGACTTACAATTTATAATAGGCTTTTTAGTCTAATGGGCTTTTGATATTTGATATTAGAAAAAATTACCTACCTATACATCATTAATCATCATATTTTTTTATTTTCCCTACCATTTCAAAAAATATAAAAAATAATTTTTTTTGCTCTCATTCCTTTTTTCAGATATATTAATTTGAAATCTCCTAATTTTCTTCCTTTTTTCACTACAAAAATTTCTCCACAGTTACTTTCATAAATTTATTTTTGAATTTCAAATCTTTTCTCTTTTCAATAAAAGATTTCAAATTATTCAAGAGGTAGATTTCTTTCATCCACTTCAATTTTTTTTAAAAAAAATTTCATCTTAAAAAATTATTGAATCTTTTACTCCCAGTCTCTTTATTGAAGAGAGGTAGAAAAACCTTGTTAATGCACATAGTTCATCTTTGAA